TTTCGTCGTGAATCAGCGTTTCCCCGCCGAAAACTGAAAATTTCCTGCGGAAAAATTGAAACTCCCGACGAAAAAATATTTTCCCGCAGGAACTGGCGGAATCACGCTCATTTTTTTTCACTGGGTATTTGTTCAAGATCTCTGTTTATTGTGTCAGTTGACTTTTGAAGAGAAGATGAGTAGTGAAAAAGACTGGTATCATCAGCATACCAACTGAAATGAGATTCAAGACCCTCTCCTAGATCATCAATATAAATGAGAAATAAGGGAGGGCCCAGAATTGATCCTTGAGGGACGCCGCAGTTTATTTCTAAAAAATTAGACGAAAAACCATCAACAACTGTTCTTATTTTTCTATTATTTAGATAATTTTCAATCCACTTAACAACTTGTTCACATACACCTTTTTGTCTCAGCTTGAAAATTATTCCCCTATGCCACACACTGTCGAATGCCCTTGAGAAGGCAAGGAATATAGCTCTTACAAAACTTTGTTTCTCAAGACCTTCAGGAATGTAGTGGATAAGATTTAACAGTTGATTAGCACACGAGTCCCTTTTAAAGAAACCAGATTGATGAACTGAAATGAGATTATTCGAGAAGAAATAGTTGTATAAATAGGTGAATATCACACGTTCCATAACCTTGCCGATAATAGGAAGAAGTGTGATTGGATGATAATTTTCTATTTTGTTTATATCCCCTTTCTTATAGACTGGTAACACATTACCAATTTTCAACGAGTCGGGAAAGATGGAGTGTTTAAGAGAAGAATTAATAAGATCGCAGATGATCGGCCCAAGAATAGGTGTAGCCTCTTTAACTATTCTTCCAGTTAGTACTCCACTTACTGTTTTATTTGGCCTAATTCTGTTCATCACTTTCATTACCTCAGCAGGGGCGACAATTATCAATGACATTCTAGCTGTTGTTTTGTAAGAGAAAGAAGGAAGTTGCTTATGTATTTTAGGAGACATAGAACAGGTAAAAGCAAAATAATTGTTAAAAAGCATAGCCTTTTCCTTTGGATCATCTATGTTTTCTCCACTTGGGACAGTAATTGATGGAATCACATTAGTTTTTGTCCTACACAAAGCCTTATTCACCAGAGTCCACCATGCTTTACTTGCAGACGATACTTTACTAGGTATTTTACTATAAAACTGTTTCTTTACCTCAACGCACGCCTTATCAAATATGGCTTGGACAGCTAAACCTTTAATCTTATCATTATTCCTTTGGCTTGTTGACCATTTTCTGTATAGAATATTTCTTTTTTTGTGTAATTTCTTAAGTCCTTCATTGAACCATATCTTATCACTTCTAGCGAGCTTGATAACTTTATGAGGAATATGAAACTTAGCAAGATCAAAGACTATACTCGTGACGCATTCTACTCTCTCATCAAGATTATTCATATTTTTGAGAAGTGTTTGCCAAGGAACCAAGCTCAAATTATTTCTAAAAATTTCCCAATTAGTCGCTTTGTAATTGAAAATGAGTCTTGTGATAGATGGTAGTTTTGTTAAACAGGACGGCAATCGAAAAGATATAGCGCAGTGATCACAATTTGTAATAATGTTGGGTACAACTTCAACATGAGTAACACCCACTGGATACTCGCAATAAGGGAATCTAGTAGAGTGTTGGAAATTAGTCTAGTAGGTTTATTTACAAGTTGAACAAAACCCATATTATTCACAAAGTCCCTCAACAGTACTCCTTCTTTAGTTGTTTGTTTAGTAGGCACACTACTCCACTCAGCACAATGTGCATTTAAGTCATCCGTAATAATAACTGTGATAACTGAACTTTTTAAAGTGTAAGAACGAGGAAGGTGCTCTCCGTATGACGCAATTCCATATGATACGACAACTACATTTCACTACTCTCGTGGAAAGAAGAAAAAAAGACGACAATATGAAATAAAAGGAAAAAACACACACATATCCATCGATACAAGAAAAACAAGAACTGTAGATCATGATGAGAAAAAAAGAAAAACCCGACGTATTCACTTATGTAGAGCCATTTTATTGACCTATCAATGCATCCACACATTCAACTGGAGTTAAAACATGAAAATCACCTGATATGGATTGATAATACACACATCCATTTTTACTGAATACATATCGTTTATCTAATTTTGCACGAGCACACATATATATGAAATGATTATGACTAGACATATCTTCGTTGACATAAACATTTTTATACTGTTCACTAGATTTTAATTTTGTACGAATTTTATAGAAATATTCTTTTACAGAATAGCGTACAAATCTAACAATTATCGCCCTGTTTTTACGTTTTCCTAATCGGTGGGATGCATAAATATCATTGTCTTTAACTTTCACACCCATTACTTTACCTATATCTTTAAGAATAGCATTTGTATCTTCTTCTTTGTTTTCCGCTATTCCATAAATACGAAATGCACATCTCCGTTGATATTGTTCTAAATCATTTGTTTTATAGTTGAGATAATCATTTCTTTCTTGTAGATCTTGAACCATTTCTTCTAGCTGTTGCATACATGTTTCCAGTGGAGCCTATCTTTTGTCTAATGATTTCATTTATCATCTGTTAGAAAGGATTACTACTGAGTACATTTTGAACAATTGAGCTAATTAATGAATCTTGAGATATCACAGCTGTAACAATTTTCGATACGAATTCCTGAGATTTTAATATATTTGTAATATTATTCATATCAGAATTTACCTGTAATATAGAGGCAGGAGATTTCGACGATGTTAAGTTTCGTTTATAACCAATGTTAAGACGACGATCACCCATGAGATTAAATAATTGCAGTTTAAATTATTTGCAAATAAAAATGGCTACTACACTCAGTGGTTAGAATAAACGTCCGTCCATAAATGATAAGAAAAGAGAAATGATCAATATCTTCATAGTTAATTCTATGTAAAGTGCTGAAAAGTGAGAATTACTGAACTTTAAGTACATAAAAGCTCAGTTTGAAATTAAACTGATTGATAAACGTATTTTTTTAAACGATTAACAAATCTAACATACGTTGCAATAGGTAATACTTTATGTTGTGTTTTATATAATTCAGATTTTAAAGATAAATATATAGAATTTGGATTTGATTTACACATTTTATACAAAAAATGTAATTCTTCACCATTAATCTGTTGACAAAATGGTAACATGAGTTCTAGTTTATTTTCATGTAGAAAATTAATAACATCCTCTTCTGACCACGATTCTATATATGTATTATATGTACCAGGTTTGATGACGTATTTGGGTTCTACAGGTTGTACTTGAACAACATTTTCGCTACTAAAATTGAATAGATTTCTTCGAATTTTATCATATTACAAAGGACGGGGAGCGATTATCTGATGAAATCCGTCCATGTCTGAATTTCATCAACTAATCAAAGACTACATATAGAATGAAGCGGAGAATATTTCTAGGTACTTGCTAGACCTTAGAACCCTTCTCAGAAAAAGATTGGTCGAAATAAATTTGATTAAGCTTCTACTGCATCTGCCAGATATTATAGATCGTAGTTTTGGATCTTTCTCTCTTAGTCTCAGTTCAACAATTTCTCACGACTATTATATATCACTCAAAAGCTCTTTTTCTTCGTTATATTTCTGTATATCATATATATGGAAATAGTCGTTATGAGGCCAGGTATGTTTAGAAACACTACTGGCTATAGAAAATGATCTCCTACGTGCAAAAAGTCTCATATATTCTATGTCAACATTTCTCATTCGGTCACTATAATAAATATACCATTCGATAGAGAATTTGTCGAGCTACAATTTGATATATATAATATAGAGAAAAAAGTGTACAAGGGCACTTTGATAATAGAAATGTTTCTGCAACGCCAGAATTCTGCTCGTAATTCTCAGTTTTCTTCATCTGAATTCAACTTTTATGCTATAAAAGTATCATATTCGGAATGAGGATCAAAAACTGAGTCGACCAATGTGTATTTTTACTTGGTTTTCACTTTTGGTGAAAATCTCGGTAATTTTTCAACATGAAAATTCGACAAAAACTAAAGTAGTCGGATAGAATGGAAATACACATTGGTCGACTCTGGTTTTGATCCTGATTCCGAATATGACATTTTTATTGCATAAAAGTTGAATTCTGATGGAGAAAATTGAGAATTACGCGCAGAATTCTGGCTTTGCAGAAACATTTCTAATATCAAGGTGCCCTTGTACACTTTTTTCTCTATATCATGATATATCATGTACCTTTTCTGTACTAATTGTAAATCATCATTAGATACTTTTTGTGGCGGTGGAGGTTTTTGTTTTGGTTTCATTTTGTTTAATTCAATTTCATTAATTAATTTTTCTAATCCCGTTTGTACATCAAATTCACCAAAATCAATATACATACGTGAACCGGCAATAAATCCTAACCATCCATCTGGACGATATTTTTCTCGCATAATAATCGGTATTATTTGACGTTTTTGACTAAATGCATATTCTGCTTCTGATTTACAATTGACACTTCGTTTATATGTTTCAGACATACACATTAAAATAAATTCAGATGAATCTACTGCATTTGCCATTGCTTCAATTGTTGATCCATGCATTTCATTTTTATCTAACCATACACGAAAACTTTTGGCAAGAAGTCCTTCATGAATTTTTGCACATAAATCTTGATCGGCCCATGAATAACTGATCATTATATCGTATACGATTTTTGTTGATTCTTCTTCTTCTTCACTGGTATTATCCGTCTGATTTATTGTTCCTGCTCGTTTAGTCTTTTTCTCTTTGAATTCTTGCTCTTTTTCCAATTTCCAAATAATTCCATCAGCTGTTTTTTTCAATTCTGGATTGTCTGATGTTTGTAGCGATTTTACATATGTCATAAAATTTTCATCTTGTTTCAGAATAGCAGCTGCATCAGCGTTGAACGAAGTACCCCATAGAATATCTAAAGCATCACGTTGTACTTCAATCGAATGATCATTAGACGCCTGTTTAATTAATAATGAGAGACCACCTTGTTTAATAAATTCATCTTTGATTTGATCGTGTTGAATAAGTGCTAGAAAAAATAAAATAAAAATAAAATTTAATTTAAAATATTTTTTCATATACCTTTTAAACCAGATAATAATTTTGATGCTTCTTTAGAATCATTTGGAATTTCTTTCAATTTATCAATATACATTAAAGTCATTTCTTGTGCATTACCCATACATTCTATTTCATGTTCGCTTATTGTATTTGCCATTATATTATTCGCATACATTTTTATCTCATTATGATTCACTGTAGATAATTTTAAGAATAATTTTGTTTTTTGTTTATCTTTAATAATTGGTAATAAATCTGGATTAGATGATGCAGCATGAAATGTTTTAATAGCTGATAACATTAATGTAGTAGCAGATGGAGTATCAAAATAATTAATATCATCATCAGGATTTAATTCAAGACAATCGAATAGATTTTGATTACTAAGAATAGTGAGTAAATGATTAATAATTTTTTCATGTTTTATAAATGCATTTGGTACATTAGCGTCTAATAATAAATAAAAAATATTAAAAATATATTCTAATGAGCGAATAACTGGATGTTTGTTAAATTGAACATTGGATGATAATAGACACTCTAACATATATTCATAACGTTCTAACATTACATTACAAAATTCAATAACAATGTTTTGTTTACTATCTTCTGGACATCGTTTTGGAAAATATTCAAAACATGTGTATAATAAAAATTTATCTGCCGAACTTAGAATAATGGGTACTCGTTGAAGTTGTTTTAATGCATTGATATAATCCAATGAATTAATACAATTTGTTATATGACTAATTAATAATGAAATATTTTTATTTTCATCAAATAGGGCAGTATTTTTTAAAGTCTGTACACAGAATAATCCTAGATTAACGATATTTGGATCATCATTTATAGTTAATTTATGATTCCAACTATCTTCCATTTGTCATTTTATTTCTGAAAATAGTTCTTCATTAGTCAATAATTTATTAATTACGTCTGTATCATTGACTAATGATGAGAATAATTGAATAATTTTTTCAAATATATTTGTTTCTAGAATGTTCAAACGTGAACATGCTGAACGCCATTTTTTTAATATCTGAATAGTAATACGAATAAAAGATGGAAATAAGTCATGTGAGACTATAGGTTCTGATATTAATTGTTTAGTGGGAATTTTTAAAATGATATCCAAAATATATTCAATAATTTCGAAGTTATCGGTAACATCGTCGTCTTCATGTTGTTTGGTTATCTCGCTGAGAAAATCATTGAAGATAAGTACGACTTGATCATTGGTTAGATTTTCGGCATTGTTCGTTATTGTTTCACAATGAGTACAAATTACTTTATTCAATGTCATATCTACTATTTTCACGAGAATACGAAAGAAGAATTTGTTAAGGATAACTCCAATGAGTCTAATCTAATGTCTAAACCTATAACATCATAAAATTTTGTTGTACAGTTACATATATCATATTTTATTATAAAACTTCTAACATTTCGCTAAATTATAAGAATTTTTCTTGTGCTGACGAGGCAAGTCCACCAACTTGAAAATCCTTCACAAAATCCAGTGGGTAATAAGTTATCGATGGTCCTGAGGTCGGCTGCTAAGTCTTGCATAATCTGATTTCCAGAAAACCAGATTTCTAGACATCTCAAAAATTCCTAAAACCTTTTCGGAATAAGTCACGATTGTAGCCCGCGAAATTGGGATCAAAATGAGACATCTCCCAGCTCTACATGATCTTTCTTTGCAAAGTTATAGCATTTACAAGATAAGCCCTAAATATTCAAGGCCACCTCAGCGCTACAGAAAGAAAAAGGAATTTAGGGCTCGTCCTGCAAATTCTATAACTTTGCAAAGAAAGGTCATGTAGAACTGGTAGATGTTTTATTTTGATCCTAATTTCACGGGCTGCAATCGTGACTTATTTAGAAAAAGTTTTGGGGATTTTTTGAGGTTTCTGAAAAACCAGGTCATGCAAGGCCTAGCAACCGGTCTCATGGTGATATTCGGATTCAGGGCGGTCGATAACCTACGACCCACTGAATTTTGGTCCACAAACGATTTTCAAGTTGGTGGACTTCCCTCGTGAGTGTTATTCACTAAAGAAGCAAAGCTTCATACGTTATGCAAAATCAAGAATATCAATGATAAAAACTTCTGGTTTTCGCAATGAACCATACCGTTCACTTGTTTCATGATCCTAATCTCTACGTTGACAAGCCTTCCACTAGTTGCAACAAACGAAAAGGGCATCCAAATTCCTGCGATTCCAGAAGGCAGTCTTTCTATCGCTATCATTAGTAGACGTATTCTTATGATAGATATCTATGGTGATAGTAGATGAGGAGAAAAGTGGGCAAAACGAATGCTTTTTCTAATATCATGAAAATTTCAACAAATTTGAAGAATGTATACGTGTCATTCAAATTGCATCTCGTTTTATTACCACAGTACAATTTTGTATTGTTTTTTTTATATTTTGCTACTTTTATAATCTAATATAAATATAGTTTTCTAATAAGTTTCGAAGCGTAGGTATTTCCATTTTGGTTACATTTCTGAATGAAAAGACTGTATAGAGTGTGAATAAATGTCATAACCTTTATCACATTAACATCTACATTTAAGATGTTCCAGAGTAGAGATGTGCACGGGTACCATTTTCCATACCAGATCTGAAAATTCTTTTACACCGGTAACTGCTCTACCAGTGCCATTATAAGACTAACAAAATACCAAAAAAAAACGTTACAGAATTTCGCTCCGTTAGCAGTAAAGGTCTAGGGTCTTCCTATAAAAGAAAGTATAGCACACTCCTACCCAGAATAGAATAGAAGACGAGTTTGAGCCGAAATATAAAGTTGCACGTCTTGTTCGCAAATTTTTTTTGTGCGAATTATGATTTGTTCTTTTAATGGATAGAATTTTGGAATCAACGGCAAATTATAGCTAAAGATTCATCAAATTACAAACTTTTAATACGTGAATCACTTGCCATTCAAAAATTTGAACCAATATTAAACAGAACAGTCAATTCAGTCTCTTTGATTGTGTTTCCTGAAGGAGTTCAGAGTGACAAATCACACCGAAAATCTTGGTCATCAACAAACCCAAGAATAATTAACCGCGGACAATCGGGGAGGTGATCTGCGTTTAGTGGATTGAGATGACTCTTTCGAAATCAGATAGAGCACAGTGGATTACGTATAATTAGAGTTACTCAGTCTATCATGGGCCCTATTCCTATCAACGGAGAGAGCAAAACCGAAAAAAATGGCGTCCAAGATTGTTTTTTGTTTTGATTGTCATTTGATAGTGAAGCATTTTTGGACGTTCTAATTGTGATATTCTTGATCAGCATGGACTATTGTGTAGGACTAGGCATTATTTCGGTCGGATTTGAAAAAAAATTTTTCGACTTCGCCCCACTACCTCAGGGAGAATATTTTTCGAAAATTTTTTTTTTGAGACTTTGAACGATTCTTAAACGCTATCCCACTCAGAATTTAACGCTGATTCCGCATATGTGTGTCTTAGATCGTAGTTTTTTGGGCCGAAAACATCCCTTTAAGCCAGTCGTCTTTTGAAGTTTTACTCCTAAAATATGAAATTTAGACTTAAATTTAGTCAGACTTCTGTTATTTAGTGTGTGAAGTGTTTAGAATGGCCTTCAGCACGTCTTTTATTCAGAGAAGGAGAGTTAACTCATAATACATAATTGAGTGATTAAGTGGAAAGTGATTATGACTTTGACAGCAGCATAATTGTTCAAATTGTCCAACGGCGCGAAAACTCTCCAACTAAATCCTTAAAGTTGCCCAATGAACTAAAGTAGGAAAATCTCGCAGTGTTTAAGACAATTCTGCGTCTTTTGAGTAGACAGTTCAGAAATAATCGCTTACTCGATTACATACTTATACTATGTTCGTAGTCAATAATATTTAATATTTTTCTATCACATAAGTATTGCCCTTGAATAACAAATAAGAACACAATCGGTAAATTAAATTCAATAAACAAATATACCTACGATTTTTCACTTCGGAGTCGTTCAACTAGAAAATTATTTTCCTTTCGTAAACACACAAAGAACACGACACGGATGGTGACATTTTTGACTTGACTAATGAATGTCAATAAGCAATAATAAGAAGAAACAACAAACGTTAGCAATAAAGAAAATGAGTCTTCTAAACTCAGAGTACTTTTTTAACAAAAAGTGGTCTTATTTTAGGAGTCTTGATTGACACCAAACAAACCTCAAAAGGCGGGAAGCGACTGGCGAGTGAATGCAAAAAATACTAGCCTAAATTAATAAGAGCTTGTGTGAGCAATATTAATAGCGGGCAATCTTATTATAAATAATTAAACGTTTCACAATAATTGATAATGGCAGAATAAGTGAAACAAAAACAATATTTAGTGTAAGAAAGGAGAAAAAAATTCTTACGTTAACGTCTATGCAAAAGTGTGTCATTTTTGAATAACTCAAAAGAAATAAAAGAGAGAGACTTGCGGTTTTCACCATTCGCTAGCCAAGACCTGAAGCTATGTTTTCACAAGCACAAACGAATTTGGGAAAAAGTTCAAAGATTGATTTTTCAAAAGATCTATGAGAAACCAGTTTGATTCTCTAAAAACTTGCATAGAAATCTATGGATCTTTTTTCATAGATATATTATCCAAAGTGTCCCCGACAAAACTAGATCTAAGCGACCTCTGGGAAATATATGGTTCGGGAACTATGGACGTTTTTCCATAGAGTTCCGAAAAGACAAAATTATCAATCCGTAAATTTGCTCAAGTTGTTTATGCTTGCCAATTTCAAGGTCAACATGATTTCAAACACGTTTCTCATTTAATTAATGAAAATTTTAAAATAGACAAAAATTTCGAAAAATGGGAAAACGATCGATCAACTGATACAGCAATAGCAAATGTGGTTCAATCTACATTAATACTGGAATTGAAGAGCCAAATCAACTATTATCTGGTCTTATTCATACAAAACAAACAATAGAACAACTTGAATTATTGACTGCTGCCTGTCAATCGAAATCTGCTATTCTACTTGAAGGTGATATTTGTTCAAGAAAATCTGTCATAGAACTTGCTCATGTAACACGCAATCATTTGATTGTTATACCACTTCATGAAAATTTTAAAACATCAGATTTAATTGGTACATGGTTACCGTCAACAGTAGACACACGTGATAATACATTATTTGTATATGCATCATTGAACTCAGTTCAAAAAATTTTATCATATAGTGACTTTTAGGACACCGTGTATAAGAGCTGAGCAAGAAAATAAAAAGTGTTAGCTTGCCAGTCTCTTTTGTCACAGCAGAACGTACACAAAATGTCGTTATTTATCTACAACAACACGAGATACATACTTTCTGTACGAACAATTGATGAAAGAAACACTCTTTTTGTGATCAGCAAAGAAACACGTCCAACAAAATTAAGGTAAAATCAATCATAGAGTGATAAAATATAATTGCTGTGTGCTTCATATGCATATATACACGACCTTGAACCACGTCAGTGCTTGCTCTTCTAAGTCATAAGATTTATTCGATAAAAAGAAAGAAAGCCATGCTATGGTGCACAGAAAAAACAGGACAAGTAGAAAGACGCGAACGCATCATATTAGTTTGTTTTGTCGATGTTACATTGTGCAGAAAGCAAAAAAGAAAAAAATATGAATACAAGTAAGGAAAAGAAACAAACTACGAAGAAAAGAAAAACTTTCAAACCTTGATATATAAAAACATTTTCCAATGGAAAACATTTTTCATTGGGGACAATGGAAGAAATACAGAAATCTAAAAACCGATAAACCTTGATATGTATGAAACATTTAACACCAGGAAACATTTCAGGTTGGGAAAATGGAAGAACGCTAAATATCTAAATACCTATGAACCTTGGTATGTATAAAACACTTTTCAATGCAAAACACTTTTCAGTGGGGAAATGGACGAAACCTAAAGACCTGCAAACTTAGTTACGTATAAAAGATTTTCCACTCAGAAACATTCTTCACTGAAAAAATGGAAGAAACCTAAAAATCTAATAACCTTTAAACCTTGATATGTATGAAACATTTACTGTAGTGAAAGATTTTTTGGTCGGAATATGCAAGAAACATAAAAAGCCTTGTGTCCCGATGAAAAGTGTTTTCCAGTGAAGAATCTTTTATACATACCTAGGTTTATAGGTTTTTAGTATTTTAAGTTTCGTCCATTTCCCCACTGGAAAACGTATCTGATTAGAAAATGTTTTATACATACCAAGGCTTATAGGTTTTCAAATTTTTAGGTTTACATTTTCCCGGAGAAAAATGTTACCCAGTGGAAAATGTTTTATACATTTTAACCTTTCCACGTTCCAACGTTCCTTCCATTTCCCAGTTGTGGTAAAAATGTTTTTAGATTTTTGGGTTTGTTCCGTCTTCTCACCGAAAAGTGTTTAACACTGGACAATGTTTCTTACATATTCCGTTTATAGGTTTTTGACGGCTTTTTCGAACTCTCTTTCTCAGAAAAATCAGTTGTTTGGCGCCCACTGCACTCATTTAATAATTATCGAGGTGCTATTCGACTCTATTAGGCTAATTCTCATAACTTCTAAAGTTTATTTCTAAATTCGGTTCAGAAAGAAAACTTCGATTCATTTTCGGTCCCTGTGTAAATCCAGCAGGTGGTGAAACTTCAATTCCAGGACAATACCTTTTACAGAGGCGGTCAAAATTATAGGCCCCCTTTTGTTTTTGACTTTTCTCTTTTCAAGTAATAGTTGGAACACATCTAAATACTGATTTGAATAGCCTAAAGATTTTTCAATCA